GGGGGGGGGGGGGGGGGGGGGGGGGGGGGGGGGGGGGGGGGGGGAGTGAAGGCACGCGCGAAGAGTGGGCGCCATGCCAAAGCACAGTAGACGACAGCGAGGGCGGTACGGGCTACTGTTTGTGGGATGGAGCTCCGAGAGAGAGAAAAATCTCCCCACAATCTTCACCCATACACTACACTAGGATCCCACCTCCTTAAGTCCGCCCAAGATTAAATCAGTTCTCAACGCAACCCTCAGCGGCGCTACATGCATCGTCTCACAGCACGCACTCAGAGCACCCACCACGTATCTCCTTCTTTCTCGACAAAGCCTCGGCCCTCCTCCTCCGCTCGTCGGCCGCTTCCTCTTCTGCGGACCGCATTTTTCTCCGTTCTTCCGCCAAGCCTGCTGCCGCTTCTCCTTGGGCAACCTCGCCGCCACCCCGTCCTCCCTCGCGGGCCATCGGCCGTGCTCGCCGCCCGGCGTCGACGTTCTCGCGACCGCCCCCGGGCGAAGCGCCCGTTGGTCGCGGGTGGCTGATACCGGCACCGTTGAACGGCCAGCGATGAGCGGCGGCGGCCGCACCGGACAGAGGGTTCGGCGCGGCGGATGCGGCCCCAGCGGCAGCGGAGGAGGAGGAGGCGATTGGCTGATGGCCTGGAGATACACCATTGCTGAACTCCTCTTTGATCTACGTGAAGATCATGCCATGGGGTTCATCGACGAGAGACGCGCGGGCGTGGACGAGATTGTGTTCGGGGTTGAGCAGCACGAGCGAGTACACGGGGTTGGGACCGGGAGGAGACCGAACAAGTTGTGGCGGCACACAAGAGGGTGTTAGAGGGTGAGGGGAACAGCGTGGAGCAACGCCGCTGCAGTACCGGTCCACGTCTCGACATCACCATCCACACTTTACTACTGCGCCAACTCCAATCACCTGCGCCTTGTTGAGGAACCGTCCGATCTTGTCCTTCATCAGAGGTCGCCGTAGCACCGCACCGGTGCTCGGCCGCGCGTGGGGATCCTTCTTCAGCAGCTGCGCCACAAGGCTGCGCACGCCGGAGCTATACCTGATTGTGCGTGGCCGCGGCAACCCGTGTGAAAATCAGACATCTGAAACGCCCTTCCGAGTCTCGAGGTGCGCACAGAAACATGGTTTTTCGTCCGTCGTCTTTGTGCCGGGGACAGCGGTCAACCAAGAAGGAGAAGACACACGCTTTTCGCGTGTTAATTGTCAGAGCTCGACAGAAAGGCCCAGCAAGCTCATCTACCTCGAGACTGTGTTTTTGCTCTGAGCTCGGTTGTCGCATGCTGGAGCCCGGCTACGCGACAAAGTGCCGTCACATGGCCCGCTTGAGAAAACAGCGAGCACAGGCTACATGTGCACGCTGCGGCAAAGATGCTTCCTACAACGGGTTCGAGCACCTCACCATTTGGTGCATACATGCATATGTACACACACACACACACGGACCACACACACACCAGGGGGTATCCATCAAAGGCGGCGAGTAAGGCGTCAACCCACCTTGCAGATATCGGCCGCGGATCTTGCGAGCAAATCTTCATCACCAGCAGCCGCATGTTGTTGCCTTCAAACGCATGACGAAGGCAGGTCATCTCGTACAGGACGCAACTTGATTTTTCAGCGATATTTCAGGTCCCAAAACCCACAAGAGGAAAGGAGGAACAGGGGCAGGGTTGGGGCGAGCGCGAGGGGTGGGGGTAACAAGAGCGAAGAGGTTGTGCGGCAGCACAGAGTACGGGAAGGAAGTGGATCGTGAAGACACATCCATGAAACGCCTTTTTGTCCGTAACAGTAGTAGACCCCGGGCCTTCATAAGAACCTAGCCCAACCCACCCTTTCCGTACTCCTCCGCCTGTACTCGTAGACAACGCGCCCGACTACTGTAGATCATACTATTGACCCCGACCAGCGAACCGTCTACTACGCTGCAGCTTTCGGTGTCCTGCAGCCTCCAAGCAGTCCACGCATATCATGCAGATATACCGCATCAGCGGGCTAGGTGCGATATTTTCGACAGTGTGCGACTGCTTCGAAAGAGCAATGGGCCTGGCGAACGCGACCCACAGCCTTGGCTATGCAGCGACTTGGGTGCCCTCGACGGACCAACTCTTGATCGAGAGGCTTGGGTTGTTCGAGCTGAACCACCAAGGATCTGGAGATAGCAGACCCACGGCGTGTACGCCTTCTCCCTCACCCTAAGCTCCACATGTCGGACTTGTGGTTGTACCGCTTCTCCTGGCATATCTCGGGTGACATGTAGTAGGGAGTTCCAATAGCTGTTCTCGCCAGGTCGAAGGTGCTCCCAAGGACCTTTTTGATCGTTTCACGGGATTTCGACCGACAAGCACAAATTAGTGGTTAGAAGGCAAGGTACGACCGCAAGAGCGACATACAACAGGAGATATATACTTCTCTAGACACATAGAGTGCCAGCCGACACTGAAAACTGTTTTGGTTGCCAAGTAGAATGGTCCAACAGTATCCCAGTTTGCAAGTTTGCTGCTCGCGCTTTGTCTGTTGTTGAGAAGGCAGTGTGGGGCAACACTCATCGAAACTGCCGCGTTTGTTTCTCGCATCGTCACGTCGAGCTGACCTATGACGTCTGACACTACGCAGATCGAGATGCTGTCTGCTATTGTAGCTGATGCATTCCATCACACTCAACATTGCTAATCGTATGTGTACCGAACGCGCTCCTCACCTTAGCGATGCCAAAGTCTCCGAGCTTGACCACCCTCGAACGCGTCAGAAATATGTTCTGCGTCTTGAGGTCCCTGTGCAAAATCTTTCGGTCGTGGATGTGCTTGAGAGCGAGCGTCGTCTGCACGAACCAGTCGAGGACGATTTCCTCGTCGATCAGGCGGCCGTTCCTCCTGCTGAGGCAGGAGCTGAGGTCCCCGCCGTCGGCGTAGTCCATGACAATGCATAGCACGTCCCGAGAGGCTCCGTGGAAGAAGCTCTCCCAGAACCCCACGATGTTGGGATGCTTGAGCTTCGCCAGCAGGGTAGCTTCTTTGCTCGCCTTTTCGTCATGCGCGGTCGGTGTGGGGGTACATAGGCGTGGGTGCAGGTTGTGACTTGGTTTTCGGATGAGCGGGAACGGTTGAGCGGAGGACAGTACAAAGAGGTGGCAACAACGATTGATGGCCTTTCCCTCAAGAAATGGCCGAGCCTGTGTGCATGCGACAGACAAATCCACTAAACCCGCGCCTGTTGACTTTCAACACCGGAACAGTCGGTCATTGGGCGTCTAGTCCAAACCACATATTCATGTATCGTGCACGAGGTGTTCACGAGTATACCTGGTGGAATATACTCTTAGTGGAGTTACGGATAGGCAGCATCACAGTCCACACGGTGGTTTGTTGGTAATGCGCGTGGAACGAAGTACGACCTTAGGGCGAAGACTTGAATACCACTTGGATGTTACCGTCGTGCCAACTCACTTCTCGACGAGCCTTTGCAGGGAGCTTCGAAGTGTCCACCTGCTTGACAATACACGCCTGTGTCGATGGCACGGTGGGCGCGTTTGGGGTGGCGCGAGAGAGTTGGGTCGATTGCGAATTCGCGACAATAGCGAGAGAGTGCCATAGGAAGGACCAGGGCAAGAGAGAATCGATCTATCGCAAACACTGCCGCTGTTGGTCGTTCCTGAGCTGAGGCTCTCCAGCACAATCTCGAACGCAGGAAAACTCCAAGCACGTTGACCAGATTCGTAGGCGGTCGGTGTTCAAGCCGATCTGCCGATGCACGCACGACAGCATGTCCGGATCCCGACACAACCGAACTGCTGACTACAACAGGCAGATTTTTTCAGTATGTCGCGCTGGGTCTGGCGCCTACAATAGTTCAATCATGTGCAGTTCATCCAGTAGTTCTCAAACCTGCGCTACGCGGTAAGTCGTCGAGAACAAATTGCCTGTGATCCCCGCAGCAGAAGTAAATGTGCGACATGCATACAGGTACATGACATGAGGACTGCATCTATCTCTCAAACCGGCGTTCAACAGAAGAGGTGATGATGGCAGAGAACTTGGAGATGTTGCGTCGCATCTTACCTTGCCGTCTGTAATCCTAGCGCAGAGGATGGCCTGACCAAAGCTCCCCTTGCCCACAACCTTGTCCACGCGATAGCGATCCATGCTTGGAGGTCAGCACCGACCCTCACGTGGCCTGCATCACTCAGCAGATAGCCAGCGCTCCCAGAATGTCTGCGGGTTCTCCCCGAAATGTCTATAACGGCCGCCACAAAATCCGATACACCCCTTCCCCAACAGGGCTCTCCTTAGTGCCCGCGGAGTGTTCAACCTATCTCGGGAGAAGGTTGATCGGCACCTCCTTGTCTTTTCGTCTGACTCTCTCCTGTATTGCAAGCGCTGTAGACCGTACAGCGGCAGCTCCACGCTACGGTTGGTTACGTTGTGTTCGCCGAACACTGCAGCTTACAGAATCTGAATAGCGGCGCAACCTTGGGGGCTCCGCGTTAGATTTTCGGTGGCGGGGTAGTCTATCTGAGGAGTGGGGAGTGGAGAGATGGGGTATCTGATCTTCTGTCTTGCTTCACTCCGCATGAGTTGCACTGCGTGTGCTCTGTCTCGCAGCAGAACGACAGCCATCGCAGCACAATAAGGACAGTTAATCGATATATTGGGACCATGGCGCTACCTTCCCCAAAAGTCACGAAGCTTCCAGTTCTGCAGCAGGTGAAATCAACAGCTCTCTCAAATGGGGAGCACACGATCATGTTTAGTTTGAAGTTGATGTTGGACGCTCACCACGCCATGATCTGTGTACCCCATATTGTGTCGCCCGTGCCACCTCGTTGTGTACCCCATTCCTACCTAGAAAACGGCTGTAGAGGACGACAAGATAGCGAGCACCGAACCGCACGGCTGTTGGCGTTAGACACATACATCTGAGTGTTTTTTAAAAAATTGGTATGCAGCATTGGATCGGTGAGTTCCGCCGCCCCGAGTTCAGCCTTGTTCAACCCATCCCACGTCGACACCCCATCGACACTTTTGACTCACGCTTGCTTGTGGAACGATTGAGGGTGCAAGGGATTCACCGGACTACACGTGCACCGCTCACTCTTGTTGCGACATTTTGTTTTTGTACAGCATGTTTTACTTTTTCCTTTCGTGAGCAATCTTGATTGTGTGTCTCCGTCGCACGCAGGACGCGTGGGTCGAACGCCTGCGAGCCGCGCTGCCTCCAACGTCTAGCTGGCGATCGTTCTACAGCTCGTTGGCTGGCGGCATCGTCACAGACAGCGCCTTGATGCTCCTCCCGATCGACGACCACATGGTCCATAGAGGTCACGCAGGTGTAAAATACACCTGTGTCATGTTTATCATGTGAAGCTTACTTGTGTACTGCACCTGCGAGACGAACAGCAAGTGCGGTCGATCGACGTCTTGTTGAGGTGTCGATACGCCTCTGAGGCCGAGGCCGAAAGTGTTGGGCCAAAGTTCAGTGGATAGTGGATGCCTTCGGGAGGTCGCGTTCTACACTGCATACACGGAAGTGCATCCCAGACGGCTTGTGTCGATTCATCCCTTTGGGCGCGTGCAGCCCTCGTGACCAAAGTTTAAGACTATCCACTTCCCGCCACCACACCTTCGCTCTCCGGCCTCTTGCTTCCTTGTTTTCGTGCACCTGCTACTGGTACGCACCGAAATATTTTCAATCGGGTCAAAAATCGAACCAAACTAAAAGTTTTTGACACGTGCAACGTGCACAACGACCGCGCCTACGGTCTCCACTTCCACCTGGATCGGCTCTTGAAGAGTGCAGCCACCGCTCGCATCGAGCACAGCTACACGAAGGAAGTCTTGCGAGACATCGTTCTCGCTACTATCGCCGCCGGCGGGCGGTCCAAGAAAGGAATGGACGCTTTCGCAAAGTTCTGGCTCAGCGCGGGGAGGTGCGCGTGTGTATTGTACGTTGTTTGCAGTTCTTGTCTGAAACGTCTTGTTTCAGGAGATGGCTAACGCGCGGTTGGAGAGTAGTTTCGTCGTGTTTGACCAATGGGCACCTTGTTGCTCCGACATTCGTCACTCCCACACCCACTGGTATTCGTCAACTAGATTTTCCTGGAATACGGACGGGTTCCTGCTTTCGGACGCCGCTCCATCACTCCCCGTATGTATTCCGCAGCTACGTTATTATAGCGTTGATGATGTAGAACCGAGGACGATCTGCGCTCCGCACACCCGTTAGCGCCGGCGTTGCGCTTGAGCAAAGCTGCGCCTTTGACAGTAAGACGGCAGCTCCTTTTCCTTCTTGTTTCCACCCTATTCCACCGTTCTCATCTCGCTTGCCCCCCCCCTTCACCTCTGCAACGCTCGTCCTCCTGCCAGAGGTGACTTCATGGTTTCCCCGCGAGGCTGTGGAGATGCGATATTTTATGTCGTGGTGACTGACTTCCCCGGACACCCGTCGGAAGGGATCGAGGAGTGGGTCGTGAAAGTCCCCATGAAGACCGGGCTCATGGCCTCTTGCAAAACGAATAACTACCTTTTGAACGCGCTCGCGGCGATGGAATCTCAGGTACATTCCCCCCCCACCACGACCGCACCCTGCCTATAATTTCTGCTTCTCGCTGATACAAATGCACCTCGAGTCGTGTGCTGGAAATCGTTCACGAACGGGCAACAGTAGTTGTGTCACGTACGGAAATGCTACGGATATAAACTAGCGCCGCCGCCGTACGGATCTGTGCTGTCGTTTTGTCGGTCTGTCTGTTCGCCGAGATTAGGACAAGGGCGGCATGGAGGGCATCTGGGTCAACGATGCTGGAAATGTGGCGGAGACCTGCATGGGGAATGTTGCGATAGTGGACCAGGAGGGCGTACTCAGAAGCCCTCACTACGACGGCTCGATCCTGGCCGGCACGACGTTGCTGCGTGTTTTCGCTTTCGCGCCCCAGCTCATACAGGTGGAAACAGGCAGAGTGGCGAAACCCATGATGTTTTCGGCGTGGGTATCTCAATGGTCATTGTGCTCGCGGATCTTACAAAGAAGATGTCGATTGTATCGATGCGCTCCGGTTCGTGGGTGCCCCTGTTTCCTCACTTCCTCTTCCCCAAGCCAGTCTGTGCTGCGTTCCTCTCTTTCCAAAGCATCGCCTCACTCACTTTGAACAGCGTAGGTCTCGGAAAATTCTCCATGATTCCCGTCTGATCACTCAACAGGACGGGCTGCTGACGTCGTTCAAGTTCGACGTCGTTCGTGCTAGCGAGCTCGAAGAAGCCAAAGAAATACTGCTCTGTGGTGGCGGTGGGGTAACCCCGGTGGTGTCGATCAACGGGATCACGGTCGGCCGGGTAAAGAAGGAAACGATCGGGGACGGAACCGCCGAAGAAACCAGCAAGACTGAAGCTGCAAAACCGGGACCGGTGTTCTGGGCTTTGCGGAAGCTGCTCGCCGCAGGTACTCATGCCAGGGCGTGCATGCATGTGTGCTAGAGTCGTTTGTGAAGATACAGTGTGACGAAATGTGTCGCGGGTTCCCGTTGCCATAGGTATGAATAAGCCTGCTGAGGTAGGAGGGAGCGGCAGAGTATGCGTACGAGGTAGTTACGCAGAGGGAGAGGACACAAAAGCAACTTTTTTCCCCAGCCGCAAGAGAGACTGCCCTATCTGCAGCAGAGGAAGCAATTGAAGCAAGGCAGTGTTATGATTCGGTCTTTTACTTGTTCGTCGTCCTCTTCTCTGTGTGCCTGTCTGTCTCTCCCCTCCTCCCTCTCCCCGCTCCCCTTTCCCTTCTCTCTGTTCTCTTTCGTTCCACACGCGCGATCTCCTTGTTGCCTGCGCTTCATTGCAATGGCTTCAGACATGGAGGGTGCTGAGTTCACCGACGCCGTCCCGTACGAGCTATACGAAGACTAAACAAATCGAGACCGAGTCGTCGTTGGGGTGGTGTGGAGCGAGAGTGAAACACGTTCTTGCGTTCAAGTTCGCCACAGCATCCCTGCTATGGCATGATGTACAAAGTGCTTTGCTTTTCGTTGTTCACGCTTGTTTGAAATCATTTCGATGGCACGGAGGAGCCGGCTTTCACCTTTGTGTTCGCGATTTGCATGTTCTGCTGGGAGCGAAAGCTTCCCGAAAGTTGTGTTTGATGTGTTCTGCGTTTTGCTGGGAGTTAAAGGTTCCCGGAAATTGTGTTTGATTCGTTCCTTCAGGTTGAGACATTCCCTAGTCCGCTGTATTCTGCACATTGCGTCCCCGTCTTTTCCCTGTTGGTGCGTGGAATGTAAGTTAAACCTAATTGTGAATGGTGGCTAGCAAAACTTTGGGAGGCCGGGGTAGTATACGCTGGGGCGAGGATAAACAACCCTTGAAAATGCACAAAGGGTATTGCACGAGTTCACCGAGGTGGCGTGGACTGTCTGCACGGCAGTCTCTGAACTTCGAGAGTGTCCCACAGGGAAGTACCCCCATGTTCTGCTCGGGAATCGTAGAAATACAGGTTGGATTCGGTTCTAATCTGTCCCGAACCATTTTGCTGTGGAAGAGATGGATTGTTATGTTTTATTGTAAAAACACAAAAAGAAGTAGGAGGAACGAAGTAAGAAAGACAAATGGAAACATGAAAGAAGAAGGAAGAGGTGGCTTGGAGAGGAAAGGTTTCGACCCAGCTGATCGTCCACACAAGCACCGGAGGAATGGGACACCCAAAATTAAGGTAGAAATATTCTTGGCGAAGAGAACGGTAAAAACAGGGAGGACGATGGAAGCAGCAACAAAATGCGAACAAGGGGGCCAAAACAAACACGACTAGCGCATACAAGCCTCGGCAGATACGTACATTACTCTGCTACCGTTGTCTTTGTCCCAAATTAGGGCCTTCGTAAGAAGCACTTCTGTTTTCAGCCGTGCTAAGACTGGCGCGCATTTATCATTGGTCGGCCGGTCAGCGCGGTCGACGCGAATGATATAGACACACACAAATCCGTCTCGGTTGGTGGATCAAATCCTACTTACATATTGAAGAAAGTGCCACGTTGTTGGTGGTACCCTCATAGTTTTCAGATGATAAAAGGAAGCGTGGTTCGTCGTGAAAGCTTCAATAGGGTGCGGGGGTGTGGTATCATAGAACAAGATGTTGATCGTTTTGTTTGAAGAATAGTCTATGTTATGTCTACAGATGTTTTCGGCTCAGGAAATAAATCTACTGCTGTGAGGACACTAGTCCCTGTCAGAGACAGAGGCCGGTGCTCTTGCAGTATTCTCCCACTGCCAAGGGTGGCTATTTCCTTTCGTGAGATGTAACGAGAGAGGTAGAAAAAGAGTGACCAGAGGGTCGAGAGAGGCGAGCCGCGGAAGTTTCCCCATCTCTTCCCTCGGCAAGCGGCCATGGACTTCGGAAGAGACAAATCTCCTCGGTGCTTTATTTGCCACTTCTCCCGATGGCAAGTTACCGCGAGGAAACTATCTTCCTATACTTTCTAGGTATGTGCACAAATGGTTGTATATTCCGACAGGTGTCCTCCACAGCTGTAAATTGTATGTCCTGGTGACGGCATCTGGCCTTTGCTTTGTCGGTTTGTCCAGGGCGGCATTAAAGTGTTCGTGAAACACTTCCAGGTAGTGGCTTTGTTCGTTGTTGAGACAGTGGAGAGAATTGCCTGTAGACTAGTCTATGCCAACAGCTCGAGACTCTTATGTGGGGTCCCGCTGCTCACACAGAGGCATGAAGATCCCTCAATTCACCCAAGGTTCTTGGCACAGCAGTACGATAATGGTATATAATACCACAAAGGGATCACCTGTTCAGGATCTTTCTCAAGGACTGTGTATTGGATCAGTGAGGATTTGTTACACCTGCTCAATGAAAATAGGTATGTGAGTCTTTGAAGCCCCCCTACACTCCTACAATGCTGTCCGCAGCTATGAGAGGATCCAGCAGCCAGAAAGAAAATATACACACCCCGAGACGCGCTTGCTCCGCAACCACATAAGGGTGCCATAATAGGACACTCGACAAACCGAGTTCCCCTAAATCTTCCGTCTAGAACTTCCCAACATCACATACAGATAGATAGTCTACACGTTGTTAGTAAACTTGATCGACTTCATAAGTCGCGAGGGAAGGGATTGCTGTACCCTTCTCGCGATTAAAATATCTCAGGCAGGAACCGCAGGAGGGGGTCCACCCCCCCCCCTCCTATGTGACCCCGGTTGGGTCGTCTAGCTGGTAGAAGTGGAGGATAGGGGCCAGAAGGGCAGACGACAGAATCCAATGATGAGAGAAAACAAACAAAAACAAACAAGATGGCTACCAAATTGCCTTGTTGAGCCTGTTACCCACAGGGGAGATATCGTTGTATGCTGTCTGGGAAACCGTAGACATACAGGTAGCGTTTCGCTCACGCTATGGATTCATTGCTAATCTATCTTAGGCTTATTTCTATAGATAGAGATGGATTTGTTGTGTGATATTAAGAAGAAAAAAAACGCGGCGGAATCGCCGACGATTCGACGTTATGGCAATGTCAATTGTCAACATCAGTTACAGTACACCTGATCCCTCCCTCTCTCTCCCCCGTCCACACGTTGTCGCTTTGCTTGTATACTAAACTACTGGTGGTGGACAATTAAAGGTATCTCTTGGTTTTGTTGCTCATGTTTTCTCTGTTGCACTCATGGTGTACTGATGCGAAGTATGCATCCGAGAAGGTATCTCATTTTTGTAACCGGTCAACATACATGTGGGTCTGTGGTTTTGAGAGGATCGCTGACTCCCCGGTGCACGATCTATTATGAAACCTCATCAAGGTCGTTCGTGCGATGACCGTGGACGGCTTTGAGATGAACGTGCGGGCTCGAGGAACACGTGCAGGCGTTGATGACGCTCATGAGGAACGGTGGAAGGAGCTCGCAGATCTCACTGACGGCCGTCGTGAAAAATGGATGACAGATCGAGCGAAGCACGCGCTTGGCACGCCAAAGTGAGATAAACAACGCACAGCAGTCGTCTTGAGTGCATGGTTTGAAGATCAAACCATGTGTATACCCAGTGAGGGTACTGAGAGTATCCGCATCGTGAATTTTTGACGTGAAATCATACGGTGCAAGGATGTAATCAGCATTCCTGTGGGCAATACTGTAAGTACAATCCTGTCTACAGTATGCATGTGTGTACTTCTATAAAAGTCTCTGTAATAAAAACAAATCAATATCCCTGCATATCTACATGTAGGCATACCTACAGTGTTTGCTCCCAAAGCTTCTCTGCCTCCTCTCACAGACGTTGTCGTGAACGTTAAGACAAGAGGTGCTGATGCAATCCGTTTTTTGTATTTTGCCGTCATTTTTATTATTATTTTCCACGAAGTCTTGAAGGTAACTCTCTGGCCAATAACGAGGGGGGCGACACCGGTCATTTCCCTCTTTCATCCAGAATCCAAGTTTCCCTTCCATGTCAACTGGCAGGCCCTAACAAAATGCCGTCTCAGCACACCGAGACCCCCAATGGTACTCCATAATATTGACATCCACATCTCCCATCGGACCCTCATCACCCAGTTCCCCGTGGGAGTATAGCACTCATGAATCGACATTCCACTACAATTTATCCTCCCGGTACTCATACCCCTAGTTATCGCCCTCCCGCCCCCCCCCTCTTTCGGAAACAAAAATCGAGGGTGGCGTGGGTGGGAAAGACGACAACACTAGCTCCCCGGAACAGAATGTCTTAACAGGTAGCCACTGGCAGTGTTGTCCGCTCGTACGTCTAGCAGTCCCTGTGCTCCCAGCACTGCTGATGCTTCAACGTGATCGGGCGCAATCAGAATGTCGTGCGAGCAGCTGCCTCATCTCAGCGCGCATGCCTCCTCTTCTATACACACGCAGACATCCTCTTTGCCATATAATATATATGCTCACTTCTTTATCAACTACAATTAATAACAACTTCAGACTCCTCCTCCCTTTGGTTGGATCCATCTGAAATACTCGCTGTATGCTCGTGCGGCGGTCCTGCTAGGCTTGCTTCGATATTCCTACAAGAGGAAAAGGGGCGCATACATCGTCTCCGCCAGATCAAGTCGGTGTTGGCGTCGGGAAAGCTTATGGGCAACGTCGGTGCCAACACATCATCCTCATCAGCAACACAACCCTACAGGCGGGGAAAACGCCGCCCTCTCCCGAATATATCGGAGCACAACAGCCATCACACGCACCATACGACTCATCGTCGATTTCAGCACGCAGACGTTAAACCAAACTACCCGGCCAATCCTTTTGGGAACGTTGGCAGCGACATCCAGCAGTTACCTACGCCGATGGGGAGGAGGTCTTCGCTCGAGGAAGCCCTGAGGGGCGGTAGAAATGAGGTGAACGCGCACGCCCAACACCGCAACAGTATGGACCGTTCCGAAATGCCAAAGGCCGATGACAGGCGAGCGATAGCAGATCAAGTATCAGCACTAGGGGGAAGCACTCAAAGTTTGTATGGATCTGGCAGCAATCTCGTTCGAACATATAATGCAGCTCCGGATACGACAGGAGACGAGAATCACTTCTTGCATTCCCCACCCAAAGAGGGTCTCATCAGCAGCAACCAGGCGGACGAAAAGGGTCAACTGATGCTGCAAGGATTAGTGTCTCACAGTACAAGCAGGGTGGTCGCAGAGGAGAACCACGAGATCAGCTCGGGCCAATCAGCCATCGACCTATTTGATCAGTGTGGCATTGTCCCCATGGCAGCTGTGGAGAAAGAAGGCCTCGTGGGAACGACTCACACCTATAACTCAAGCCGAGAATCTGGAAGACATGACTCTATAGGCAGAATTTATCTCGGAACGAGCACAACCGATGGTTCTTCTCCGAGATATTCAATCACAGCGGCGACGGTAGCTCCTCCTAGACCCCCCATGGTTCCTGGTGGCACATCATCGACTTTGGACTTTCGAGGTGCAGGAAATCATCCCAGGGACGCAGGGCGTGGTTCGGCAATGCGAACTCAAGCCGTCGCCACGCATGGTGTTCGACCACGGCCCCTCATAACCAACGGCGGTGCCTCCACTTCTTCCCGAGCCAAGCTTGCGAGACATCAGGCGCCATCGCTATCATCAGGAACCGAGGCAGTAGCGGGGACTTCAAGACCTCATGGAAAATTGCGCCGAGGGGTACCAAAGGATGCCACCGCGACCGATTCTTCATCCAGACGTTCTCGCATGGTCCCGCGATTGAACGGTGAGAACCGCTCTTCAGCTGAGACGACTACGTCAATCCCTAAACCCGACCGCAGGACAAGACGTCGTTGGAACGTCGATGCAGCAAGCCCCACCGGTGCTTCTTCCAATCCGCCAGCACCGCCGGAAGCAGCAGCAGTAGCAGATGGAGCAGCAGCAGGTATCGATGCTGTGGAGTCAGAATCGGCAACAGCCTCAGCATCCGAGCAAAGAATCGAAAGCGCCAAGGAAAGGCTTCACAAGAACAAAGACCTCGAAGCTCTCAAGTCAGAGCATGTTGAAGCTCTGTCGATCCTGCAGGATATCAGCTGCCCTTCAACCGCAGCAGTGGCGTCAGAAGCAACACGTGGTGAATCTGCGGAAGAGGACGGCGGCGGCGGCGGCAAGACTAGGGCACCCGAGAGCACCTTCAAGGCAACGAGAAGATGCCTTCTGTACGAGAGAAAGAACAGCTCAACGACCACGAATGGTGAGAGCGGCGGACGGAGAGTTGCACCAGAAGGCGTGCCTGCAAACGTAGAAGTTGACAAGCTTTCGGCCGACTTGCCGCGAATTGGGTCTCAGGAGCAGGCTGCTTTGCGAGCGATGTACCGCAAATGGTGGATGAAGGTCGCGAATGGTGGGAGTCCCCCCTCGTTGGGCACACCCGCCGGACTTCTAGATGAAGCTAACAACGTCGTCGAAGGAGACAATGCTAGCTTGGCCGACAACAACCTTACGGATGAGCGAGGCAATGCTCCAGTGGTTGGTCAACGGAGGTTTATGGCAGGGACCACCGACGTTGGGCAGGAAGAAGGTCAGGCTGGAAGAGCTGCCGGCGACGTGCGAAATATCGAGGTGGTCAATCGTGCTGAGGAACCTGAAAGCGTCGCGCGAACAGAGCCCGAGAAGAAGATGTCGGAGAGCGAGAAGCCTGATTTGAAAAGTCCACGCACACCTCGAGGGGCCGAGGCGTCCGCGTTGGAGAAGAGTGACGACGGTAGCAAGACATCTTTGACCGAATTCGAGGGAACCCGAGCAAAAGATGACATCCTCACAAGTCATTGCAAGGAGCCAGCGACGTCTGTCGGCGACGAAGTCGGGACAACAGGTGTGCCAAAAGCAGGGGCAGTCACAGCGGAAAAACCCGAAACAACATCCACAAAAGAAGAAACAGCAAACACCGAAGGGAGTATTCTGCTGCACACCGCAGGGGTGCCGCCTACAAAAGATGGAGCTTTGGGGGGGACAAGACCGGCGTCGTCATCACCGGGGGAGCAGAAAGCTGCCGCGTCGGACGTTGACTCGGTCTCGGAAGATGACGGTCTGGAGAAGGAGCAGGAGGAGGGGCACCATGGCCGCATTTACCTCGCGGACGGGAGGTTTGTTTCCACGTGGCGCAACAGCGCCGAGGGGATCGACGATGCGGTCGAACACCTGAAAGACGTTGGCATCGTGGACGGGGGTGACAACCGCACGGGTAGTAGCAGTGAGGTTGTGGACGAGTCTGCTGCAAAAGGACTCGATGATGTTTCCATGGGGTACGCAGACGAGGATTTTGAGCTTGAAGATTGATGGCAGCAGTCGAAAATGTTTTGCCATTGTGTGATGAAGGGCTTGAGCTATCTACGTAGATTGCAAACATCAGACGATGATCTGTTGTTTTGTGATCATCCCCTGTTGTGGGCGCCAGCATCTGTGCGCCGGTTCGTCAGAAGTTGGCTTCAAGAAACGTCGGCGTTGCAACTTCTATTTGGATAATATTGATGTTACAACTATCAGAGGGTCCCCTCCGTCTCGGAACTGGCGCGTTTCGCGCAACAGGTTGCACACTGCCTTCAGTGTTGCCCGTGGACGTAACACATGCTTGTGAGCTCCTATGCTAAGAGCACCGCAGCTACTTCTTTTATCCACGCAAGCTTCAAATGACCAAATGGCAGCTTGCCTGATCGATTCAAAATGGCAGCTCGTAAATGTTAACATTGCGTGTGTTCACGTCTGTATCCCGCGCGCAGCGAGTGCAGATATACTACTGTCTTAGGCCCCAAACCAAGCAAAGAGGCGTACATTTCCCGCATTCCTCAGACTTTGAGCCAACACCAACGGGAATCGACCACTCCAAGCGAGACATCCCCAAACAGGTTGCTGAATCTACTGAATGACCAACCACAACGGCTTGCCGTATCTAAAATAGAATCTTGCGTGTAAAAAGTTGTCATGTTGACGACGCAAAGCTATCATCATCGTAAACCTCTCGACCGCGGTGGGTAGGGATTCGTAGCCACAATCGCCACGTGAACTCAAGTCACACAGGCACAATCTCGTCGGCTTTTGTCTGCACAACAACTCCACCGGTATCGGACCGGAAAATCCTCAACCTGGCGTCGTTGTACACCACGAACGTTGTCCCTTTCCCCTGAGGACGATTTAGCACACGGAATCGGCGGGCGGTAGGCACAACCGTGGGCTTGTGACGGAAGTACAGCAGGTGCGTTTGGCTGAGGCTACGAACTCCAAATACACCGTCATTTGTGATGAAAGGCGATACCATCGGGCATGACGAACAACCCCCACTAAAACGGGGGTCGCCGGCGTAGCTTCAAATTCAGGACACGGCCCCTCGGTTGCGTTTCCAGATCGTTGTGGAAGTCCCCGAGCACAGGGCCTTTGTTCCACGAAACCCCAAAGGGGACGCTGTTGGAGTGTCTCGGTTCACCAATCAGGTGACTCTGCCTCTGCTGGCTACGAGGTTTCTCATTTCGTGAGTGCGAATAGATAGTTTGCACTTCGCTCGTTTCCCAGTGCTTGACTGCAGTGCGACACTCAAGCTACGGTGGAGCTGATGCAACCAGTACAGGCTAACCAATCATTCACCGAGCGAACCATCAGCTCCGAGGCATCGGCAAACGACGCCCGAAGGAGTAAGCAAGGAGAGCGATGGGCGGCTGCATCTTGCTACATGTGCCTCCCACCTTGATGAAGTCTAGCGGTATCTTCCTGCCCAGCGCGTGAAGCCATGCTCGGGAAACCTCCACGTTGACCTAGCAAGAGCGATCGGGGAGTTTTGTCAATAGGCAAGCGACATGGAAGTACAAACACGCGAGGCGATCAGTCGGCGGACACTTGACGCGGAGCAGAGAGGACCCAGCAGCGCGTCTCATAGCCAGAAGGGGCACACAGGAACCTGGCGCCGACAGTTCCGCCATTCGAAGACTGCTGAATATAGTCCAATCTGTCCGCCTTGCATCGGGACAGCGTGAGAACGCGAAAACTCGACAAAAGTGTAAATGCATGCATGCGCAAGCAAAAGCGGATCTTGCTCGCGTAGGGTGGAAATTTGCGACTACAACAGCAGGCAAAACGCGATCCGTCTCAACCCTCGAGCGGCCCTTTATGGCACTCCCAGGCCTGCGGTCAAAATATAGGCGTTAAAAAAAACTCACATGAGTAGCCACTAGTTATTATAGGGTTGCTTTTTCATGCACGCTCGCAAAAAAAAGTGCTCATCCCGGCGAGCGTTGGAGCCGCACACACCCTACCGGGGCCGAACACCATACCGAAGAAGGCCAAACAACATTCTCTGACAAAACTGAGAAAAAAAATCACCTCGTACGGTAGGTCCGTATCCGTAGATGCCGGGGAGCCCTGTCCGTCTACAGTCACGTACAACTTGTCGCCCAGAGCTTGTGCAATGTTGGTAACCGATCCATCCTGCCCCCCGGTTCCCGGCGACACGGTCCAGAGGGGAAACAGCATGAGACCCGGTCGTGCAAACATTGAGGGTGCTAATTTTGTCTGTGTTGATGTGCTCGCCGTGAAAAGAAGCTAGCCAGCATATAAGTCTGAGGCACCTACTCCTCTCGTGCCCCCGCACTAAAGAAAGACGAAGACTACTGCCGCCTCCTTTCGTTGGGCATGTGTGTGTGTGTTTTCGTCTTATTTATGATGGCGACAGTCCCCCCATTTTTCGTGGTGAGACGTGTACTACACTTTTCAGCGTACGCAGTCTAGAGCACTACACTTTTCAGTGCATTTTTCGTACAACTACAACCATCCAGGGTCACACAGGAGGGGGTAAACACCAAGGCTTTTTTCTTCTTTATATTTCTTTTTCATGCCCCACCTTCCTCCTGCGGTGCGTGCTGAATTTTTATTCTTATCGCGAGAAGGGTCCAGCCGTCCCTTTCCTTCGTCAACGGTGCCAACGTCGAAGTTTGGTACTCACGAGAGCTTTTTCAGCTGTATTTCGCTTTCACCCGCAAATTTCGTAATTTTTTCACCCCATGGGGGTTCGAACTCACGACCCCTGCGACTAGCGGCTTAAGAGGATACCACTAGACAACCGGGGCGACCAGTACATGTGTGTGAAAGGGCAACTAACCGCGCGCTAGCGACAGTTGGTGCTAAATATGCAGCTACACACTATACGCCAAAAAATCGAGAAAAAACAAGAACAAAAGACAAGATTGTGACTGGTAGTGTACGTTTATTTGTATTTGCTGGTTTTATCTACTCTTCGCGCGGTCATTCTTCATGTGATGATCTCGCCACGCGAGCTCTCTGCGTTCTGCTGACGGCACCCTCACCTCTTTGTACCACTGATACGCGCGGTTATCGGCCACGCTTTTGAGGGGATCGAAGTACCGCTGCCAAGCCGTGTTGGTTTTCCACAGCACCCGCCACGGCCCATCGTACAAGTAGTCCTTGTTGAACGAAACTCCTGGGGCCGCCTGTGCGACAGCAATTATCCTCGTTTGAGGTTGCTGTCGCAATGCGTTGCAAACACAACCCATCGACAGGCGTAGAACGCACCTGCTGGCACAGCGCTTACCACTAAACAACGCTTTGAACCACACGGGGGGGGTGCTGGTGATGAATGCAACAATCGAGCGAATACCCACACCACGCCCCCAACGCATACGCTTCAAGCTACACGCCAATGGTTTGCGGATCACGATAAGTTCATGCACATTCTACGGCCAAAAGAAGATAAATATACCGTAAAACGGCATGTAATTGCGCCCTCCATAAACCACCTCCGGAACACGGTGATTCTGGAAAAAGTTCGTAGAGAGCATTCCGTACGCGTGTCGGTTGGATATCGCACTGTAAACGATATGGTACAACCGAGCTAAGCAAGTCGGTGTAGGGGGTGCGAACACTCGAACACGCGCCATTCCTCCGGGCACAATCGAGACCCTGGGGTGACGCAAAGATGGAAGGTACTTGGGCTACATAGCTACGAGGCGCTCGTTTGATCGCCGACTTCGCCAGACAATACATACCTCAAGCTCTTCGATCTTCTCCATCACAGCCACATCGTCAGGCTTGGCGCCCTCGGCGGTCAGGAAGTCGAAAAGCTCCTCGCTTAGCCGGGCCGTCTCTCCGGAGTTGTTTTTCTCTTGTCTCTGCCAAGTTTTTTCAAGTATTTAGTTCTTGGGGTGACACAGCTGAGCAGAGTTCGGAACAAAAGTTCATAAGAAGACAACAACAAAAACAACCACAACAACAGTTGGAACAAATGCCGTAACGAGCGGCGTGTGTGCCTCACAAACACACGAAGGGTCAGGTGGTGTTTGTTTCTGATCGCACACCGGTGATTGCTGTTGTAGTATCTGACTTGTAGGATGCCATAAACAGAGATGGACAATATTTGTTTTCGTTTGTACCAGTAGTCTACTATGCCAATGCCTATTTCGGGCAAACAACACGTACACGGTGCCAAGGCCGCGCTGCTACAGCGGCCACGCATCAGCTATGAAAAACTATGTTGGCCAACATGCTGTCGTTCACCGAAGACCCTCGGAGCTCCCGCAATAATGCAACGACCTTGATGCCATCGGGAAACGTATCTTTTGTACTCGACAACATGATCAATCCTAAAAGCCGCAACATTTCCCCGGGAGATTGCGCGAAGATGTCGGCTCGAGGACTGCAGTATTCACGCCAAGGATACTTCGTCATCCAAGGTGTATAGAAGCGGGGGAGGAGGTGGTTACGTTTCCATGGGTTGCCATGTTGGCGTTTTCGATATGACGATGCGGAAGGCATCGCTCGGCGGGACGGGGAATGCCCGTCTGCCTTCTGCATGACACGAGAAGGCACCGAGGAGCACGTTGGTGGGACCAAGTATGAAACAAGATATTGCTGTCAGGAAGCTATGCTTATCCCTCCGTTGTTGTGGCACCTCTCCCAGCCGTGCAAGAGGTCCTGGACCAACAACCGAACTCGAGCAGACAAGACACATGCATCCTGAAGATGTGTCATCTTACGTCGCGGGCACGTTTAGTGTCGGTGTGTACGTAGCAATATCTTCTCCGAAAAGTGAGATGTCGTCGGGACTCGCCTTCTGTCCACCGAAGAGAGATTCGAAAAACCCAGTGCCAGTGCTGGCCAACATCCTGCTTGTGTCAGCCCTGCTGGTGCTGATGGCCGCCTTGGCGCTGTGGACACCGGCGGCAGTGGTGCTCCGCGAACGAGGACCGGCAGAGGTGACGAAGGCGGTCGTGGCGTGGAAGCCCAGGATCAGCACTGCCGAGGCGTTCATCGTTTTCGTTGCCTTCGCGTGTGGTGACTTGGACGTTGGCCTGGTGGATGGATGGATCCACGGCGGTTATTAATAGTAAAAATGTCACAAAAATACTGGCAAAGTGGGCACGAACACGCATGATGATCTTCTTTCAGGGCTACAATATGTCAGGAAGGCCGTCTTCACAAGTAGAGCTCTGCAGAGGGAGTCGTCGCTTTGACGCGGGCGGTGGCTGCTGCAAAGGTGTATGTGGGGATCATGTAAACAGTCACGGGTGCAACATGAACAGCGAACTGAACATGATGACTTTGGGACGCAGAGAGCCAGTGGCAATGCCAACGTCCGATCATCAACAACACACGTGCACTCCTCCACACACGTGCACCCCTCCGAAATCTCACACACTGGTATGCGTTAAGCTCTCACATTTCGATCTTGGGTTGACCGCAGGTTAGATGCTACGTGTCGCCGCTGTGTGTGCTGTAGTGTCTGCAGTCTGGCAGAGCAGAGAGCAGCGCAGACAGGAGCCACGCCAAGACGCTGCACGGGGGTTCGTCAGCTGGGGATGTATGACAAACATAGCCCGGGGTCATCTGCTTCGATACACCCGGAGCTCCCTCGAGCTGCGAGACACACACAGCAGAGCATAGGCACCCAGCCAGCAAAGCACTGAGCAGTACCCTAGAGCAGCACCGTAGTACTCCTCGGTCACGTGCACAGCACGCATATTACTCTGCCAATTCCCCATTTCCCCCCATCACGCACACCTGGCCGGAGGCGACGATGCGCAACTGCCCTCAGGGTAAGTTTCAGTCAGCACTACTGCTGCGACGTCCTGCCTGTTACCCGGTTTCATGTGACCCAAACTGCCATATGTCCTGCTACACTGCGATTCTCATTGACGAAGACGCCACGGACTGGCCAGTCACTCGCTACGGGTATTGCTATTGTAGATGCTCACCTTTCAGTACCATCAGAGTGTGTGCGTCTGTCGCGCTGCTGTAGAAAAAGCCACGACCTCCCACGCATAGATACGATCTGTTTACCTGCTCGTTCTCTCGTTCGCTCTGTCTGCGGTAAGTAGCAGTGCTGTGCTGATGTATACCTCAACATCAACGCTACTTGCTGTAATGTTCCTCCTGGATCCTCCCTGTTCCGTCCTTGATCGCCGACTCCGACCAACAACAATCGCTGCGTAGCGACAGTGCTGTTTGCGTGCCTGGGCTCCTCCGCCACCTCGTCCATGCTATCCTTTGTCGGCGGCATGCCGGGAACACTGCCGAGCGGTCGTTGTCGGCTGCCTCGCGCCTTGCGCGAGTTCTCCCGCACCAGCAGATTCGTGAATGATCGACATAGCGGCGGCGTCAACGGCTGGTATTCTACTGACGGTGGCAACGCAAAGTGCGAGCAGCGTGGGCGCCGAAATCAGCGTCCCCTCTCTGCTCTTGCATCCTCGGGCCACCGACGACGAGGGCCGGTGATTCCTTGCAACTGGGGCGGGGCTTGTACGGCACCGATTGTCGCGCCGCCAGCGCGGGGGAGCACGTGGGCGGCTCGCCGAGGGCCCGGCGACTTTTCTTCCAGCACCGAGATGAAGGCCGCCAAAGATGACACCGCCACCAGAAGACGGACGACGCCGGAAGATAAGCCCACCATGAGCAGCGCTGCCATAGTCGCCGGAACTCGCGTGCGCTTGCTTGACACCGGCCGCCTCGGCACCGTGGTGGGGAAAGCCGGAGGCTGGTGGAAAGTAGACCTGCTGGAGAGTGGGGGAGGAGGAGGAGGCGGCGGGACAGCCTGCGGAAAGGCAGTGGGAACGGAGGCTGATGCTGCCTTGAGACCAAGTGGTCCCGTGTCGACTCGAAGGATGAACATGGAGCCTCTCGGCAACGCGTACGCGTTGCCGTCCACAGCGGCGGAGACATCGGCGGGGACATCGGCGGCGGTGGAGGCAGCAGTGGGTGCGGCGGCGGCTTCTCCAGCAGCCAAAGCGCCAGCGGCAAAGCGACGACGTTCCGCCTTGGCCAAGAGGAATGGGAAAACCAAGGAGGTGGCTGCGACTCCTGGATCGGCCGCCGCCACGGCCGTTGCCGGCACAGGAAGCAAGGCTGTCGCAAGAGGGAAAGGAACAAAGGCGGGAGGGAAAACGACGAGGGGGTCGACCGGCGTTGTGCCACCATCGCTGGCGGGGCGAACGATTTCGCTGCAAGCGTCCCCGCCGTCGGCGACGGCAGCATTAGCAGAGAAAGCCAGCGAGACGGCCACGGCCGCTGTTTTCAACATGAGCGCCGACGGTTTGGCGCACGTTACGATGAAGGAATGGCTGGTGTTCTCGGACCTGCATGTGTCTCCAGCCTCGCTCGCCGTTTCTTTGGAGGTACGGAGCGTGGCGTGGTGTGATGTAGTGTGGTGTACACGCCCTTCGAGGGATAACTGTCTCTTTGCTTGTCAAAGAGGTATCGCGAATGCTGCTCAAGCTTTCACCCCCCAAAGAGTAAGTAATTCGGTGCCCTTTTGTACTTTGTATGTCCCAAGTCGCCTCTGATTTGTTTTTCGACGACGGCGGTCGATCGCTCTTGTGTCCCGCCCTCCTGATCATGGTACGGACACCTGGCTCCCGTCGCTTGCGTTCGTCTGCTGAACAACAGGTGCTTGATCGCGTGAACGAGGAGGCGATGAAGCGCTCGGCTTGCGGGATCGCGTTTCTGGGCGACTTTTGGCACGCCAGAGGTTCTCTTAAGGTGATGCCGAGCGTTCATACACTTTTCTCTGATTGGTGCACCCGTTCAACAACGCTTTGTGGAACAGACTCACAAGATTCTTGCTGTAGGGCTTTGTAATCGTACGGTGTCTTGGTCCCGTGTTCAACCAATGACAGGGGGTTGGCCCTTAAGGTATTCATGGCGCTCCACAAGTAGTTTATGTTGGGCCGTGAAGTCTACAACAGTTAGGGGTGCCAATCGGGGCGATTTTGGCGGCAAAAAAGTGACCGGTCTATTCGAGGATTTTGAGAAAAAAAAGGGGGGCACGCGGACTTTTTGGTTCTCAAGTCAGCTCTTGAATCATACCGATCAAAGTATACTTTATCCTCCGTACTTTGTATAAGTAGCTCTGCGTCCAGGCAGCGACGTGGCTCTTCATACGTTGCACACATCTGGACACAAGTCCAATAGAGGACACTACAAGCTCGGTTAATGCTTAAGTTTATAGGGCGGATGAACAACCCAGAAAAACCTACAAATTTCAGCTGTATGGCCAATGCCCGAGGCCGCCTCTGACTTTCTTGAGAAGGCGAGCTTGCAGTGCACCACCTTGGGAG